GAAGTTCCACAAACTGTCTGATTTGATATGTTTGATTTGATGGGCCTTTTATGTTTATATGCACTTATACAGGTAAATGATACATCCCTGCAAGTTCCTTTATAAATGTAACCTTGTTTTTCAAGAGCTCGAGCTACTTTTCTTCAGTTCTTGTGTTTAAAAATACTTTAAAATCTTCCAAAATTACTGAAAGCTACAAACAGAATTTGAAGAAACGCCTGCTATGTCTTTGTCCCAAACATTTAAATATTGTGCTGAAGAGAAATATCAGGTGGAGTTGCACGTGAGGCCCCTCTGTGTCGGGTTTGCATGGACTCGCTGTGCCTGTGCTTCCACTAACAGTCGACATCAATGTTAGGTTAACAGCTGAATCTAATTTGGCTGTAGCTGTGATAGAAACCCTGAATAGTTTTACATCCCTCTGTGACAGTCCTGTAATAGACACACTACCTGCATTCATTCTTCTATGTAAAAAAGGTGTTTATTATGGTGCGGAAGGTGATTGGCTGTAAGATTCCAGCCATTTCCTCAATAATGCTGCTTCTTTTTGTCATAAAAATTTGCCTGATGAAGGTCTAGTAGTGAAACACTGAAAATAAATATCTCTGCAAGTTAGCCAGTTTATGGAAATCAGTCTTCAGCACTTGTTATGAAACCCAGGTGCTGAAGACCGATGTGTTTTAAAGTGTTTTTGCTAGTTTTATTCACTGATATATTTATATCTCTATCGATCTCAAATGTAATGGAAGATGGTAGTTTAAGCTCATGCTCAGTGTATGTTTTAGGCGAACTTACCCCAAAGGTGATGGAAACAAAGAAGAACTCAGAGTGGAGTCTGTCAAGAATACCCTGGCTGAGCCTTTTTAAGAAGCCGCCTGTCTGGTACAGCTTATAAAGTCTTTTATTTTTTCATCATTACCACCTCATATTTGTGTGAGTCTCTCAGCTTCACCGCATCTCTCTCCTCTGCTCTCTCTCTGGTCGCTATCTTCTTCTCTCTCTAAGGGCCATGGTGTTTGCTCACATGTGTATGTGCAGCACATCCTACACACTGTTATCATGGCTGCCAACATACTTCAAAGAATCCTTTCCTCATGCCACGGTATTTCCACCATTACTGCTACTTAGCTAATAAGCATGGTGCACTGTTTCCTGGACCTACATGACATAACCCTCTGAAGCTGTCTGTTCCTGCAGGGATGGGTCTATAATGTTGTTCCATGGCTAACTGCAATCCCATCAGCACTTGTTGGAGGATACGTTTCAGATTTCCTCATTAACCGAGGTATCAAAAAAAGGTCGCCCTTCTACTGTGATGTGTGTTATGTTGCTGTTAGAATATGTCTTATTAAAGATGTTTGAAATGTTCTGGTTTGTTATCTGTAGGATATGGTGTAGCATCTGTGAGAAAGATAATGCAGGTAAGTGTGAGAGCGTAGCTGTTGTTTGAACTGATAAAAGCGTGTGTGCGGTGAGAGATTTGTCCTGACTAGTTACTGAAGTGTTCTTTGGGAATTTATGCAGTCTGTTTTAAACATGTATTTACAAGCCTGGCAGCTTTCATAGAACTGTTTATATGCCAGTGCTCTAGATTACTGCTGCATTATCTGCTCTGTAAGTGTAAACTTGTGTAAAAACTACAAAAAAAATTCAAACGCTTGTTCTTTATGTGCACAGTTTTATTATTCTAACCATCTTGAAGTACAGCTATGAACATGTGCATTGCATTAAGTATTGACATAATCAAACCATTAGAAATTTGCTCACCCGGCTGTCACTTTTGTTCATCTTTAGCCTGCAGACTGTGCCTTTAAATACTCACCTGTATGTCTCTCTGTCTGATCCTCAGTTTTTTGCCATGGGAGTATCAAGTATGTTTATTCTACCTCTCTCTGGAGTTGTCACATTTCCTGCAGCTGTGATTTACATTTGTGCTGCTGTGGGTCTCACCACCTTCACCAGCGGGTAAAAATGTCAGATTTATACTAAATACTCAGACCAGCTACTAATAGGTTTCTCAGGCACTTTTTACATTTGATGACCTCTTTCTCACATCAGATCCTGGCTTTCTCACCATCCTCATTCTCCTTGACCTCACTGCTGCTTTTGACGCTAGATGAAAATAGGTTATAATATGGTCAGTAGACTTAGTGTGGAAAATGACTCCTGTTAATCCAAACCATAAACCAGGACTTATGTGCTGTGTTGAGAAAGAAAAGGGTGTGTTCTAGAAAGATTAGATAGTGGTCTCTTGGTTCATGCCCTGGTCACCGCACGCTTGGATTATTGTAACTTCTTATATGAATCTACCAGAGTATCAGAAGTAAACAAGTCATTATTACTGCAGTGGCTTCTTGCTAAAGAGTAGAGAGAACCAAAACATTTGTTAGAAAGGGTAAAAAATATTCAGAGAAAGTCGTTTATTTTCAGTGCTAAAATTGGTTAAAAGATGAGTCATGACAACACTGTGTACTATAGCTAGCCAAAGTTGAGACTGCTGTGGCCACACAGAAAATTGCATTATTGTGCAATTTGATGTTGGTTTCTTTAAATGGGGGCCCCAGAAAACAATTAATTTAACATCACAAACAACAACTGGGGCATACCCACCCTGAATGATAGGCAGTTGTGTTCAGTATATGACTCAATGACACATAGTGAGACATATTGTTGCAATAGCGCTAATTTTTAAGGTATCTCAGACTGTTTACCATCTATTTTTGTTAATGAAAGAACTAACAATTTTTTTTAGAACTTATTCATACTTCTTTATGTTAAAAGAAAGCTAGGTTATGCAGTTTTTTTAATTGGCCCAACGGACTTGTGATCAAATTTGGTGATTATCTGATGGTACATTAACTAAAGTGAGTCTTACACTCCTGATTTATAGAGCAGCGTGCAAATCTTTAGCCAAGGGGTTCTAATGGCTAGGAATGTTAGTTTCACTCAGTAGGTTTTTAAGGAGGAGATCCTCTCAGTCTCACAGTAACCTGCTGATCTCAGTGGTTGACTATAGCTGGAGATATACAGTTAACATTATCTGCTTAGGCCTCTTGGGAGTTGCTAAACCTGTGATACTTACAAATACAGATGTGTATTTATGGTGTGTAGTTATAGAGTAATGCTGGTGATATTAGATTGACAGCAACAAAATCTATGTCCGTATTTCAATGCTTTCTTCATACTCAACAAAGTTAACACAGCATATTTAATTGCCCTCAGGAGAAACACCTTTTAATAAACAGCCCAAAGCCCATTACCAGCTTTAGACACTGAATCTTACGTGGGCCATGCTGTATATGCAGAGTGTCAGTAAAGAAAGAAAAAAAAAAGATTTGTGGCTCTGTGAGTCAGCTGGGTTGTAGGTCTTCGGCAAATGGTCCTGAAAATTCAAAATGTATTTCTGTTTTCAGTAGCAAGGCACATTTGGTGCAACAGCATGACAGTGACTCAAAATAAACTACAGTGCCCACATTTATTACCATGTGACTCAGAACAACACTGCAGCTCGCTGGTGTCTGATTTAAAAATAGTGGTGCTTGACAGCAAAGCTTTGTGACACACAAAAACCAGATAATGTACCAGGTTGTATTTGTTAGTTTTTATTGTTTAGTCTCATGTTGGTTTTAGTGCTTAGAATGAATTTGTAAAATTCACTGTAAAAGTTATGTCAAGAGAAGTCAATGAAAAGCCATAGAGTTAACCTATCAAAACACAGTATTTCATTGAAATAACACAAAAGACTCAAGTAAACCCCCCACAAATCTAATTTGTTCAGTAAGTTCAACTATAGATGATTCCTTAAAAACAATACTTGTGAGATTAGTTTTTATTTTTTAACATTAGTTCCCTGTAAGCAACAGATGTGGTAAATCCTATCATACTGGATAAGAAGCAAAAACCAAAAAATCACAATAGTTTGTTTTTAAACAGTAGCTGATGTGTTTGCTCCTGATGTAAATCTTTGTTAAAATTCCTTCAAATTCTTCTACTTCTTATTTTTCTGTTTTAGTGGTGTTTCTGTGAATGTACAGGATCTGACACCATCGTGTGCAGGCGCCCTGTTTGGTGAGTTTCTGTGGTTTTTAGGTTCTTCAAGCTGGCCCAGTGTCTGGCTTTTTCAATGTCTAATAAAATTTTCTTTCCTGCTTCAGGTTTTATGAATATGATGGGCTCTTTTGTGGGTATGTAGCCAAAGTCTGACCTTTAGAAGTGTACATTGCTGAGCACAGGGGCTGATGTCTGATGTCTGATGTCTTTCTGTTTTGCACAGGGGTGGT